TGTGTGTGTGTGTGTGTGTGTGTGTGTGTGTGTGTGTGTGTGTGTGTGTGTGTGTGTGTGTGTGTGGTTGTGCGCGCGTGAGTGAGCATGCGCGGTAAGGGGCGATCCGGGGAGGTTGGTTGAACGAATAATTGATCTTTGGTCCAAAAAGTTTGGGCACCCCTGTACTAGGTTCTGGGGCTTGCTTCATCTTACACAGGGGACAAACCAATCCTGAAAAGTAGTAATACAATAAAATACTGAAAACTCTAGCTGCAGGCAGCTTTAAAGTCCGTAAGTGACAACAAAATATATTATTTTTTGTTTCTTTTAATCAGAAAGACCACTGTCACTAAAAAGACCGTGAATAAACTAACAGAAAAGTGTAGTCAATTTGTGAAGAATTAAGCAAGTTATGACATTTTAAAGACTTAAAATAGTTAGCAAAAATGAGCGCTCGTTTCCAACAATGGAATGGCTTGTCACTGAGTGTGCGAAGTGGTATGCAGCCAAGTTTGGACAAGTAAGCAAAGAGGAGCATTCGTTTTGAGTTAAGATAAGTAGAGTTAACGACTATGATTGCCATAAAATCCATCTCTGCAGGGCGAGTTTCACAGTGTTGTATAGTGTTCTTTCCAGAGCTCCAGTTTTGCCTCATCTGTCCAAAGGACATTCTGCGCGATGCTTTGTGTATCGTCAATATCTCGTCAATTTCCACCGATTTCAGTGACCTTAGTGGTATTCTTGTTGATGCACGGGAACCAACAATTTCGCCTGAGAACTAGTAAGCAGATCGTGCAAACAGGAAAAAGACCCAAACACAAAGCGAGCAAAATATGCTCCCATTCTGTACAGACCTGATCAGTTACAGAAATTGTTTTACTGACGCTATTCACGCTACACAGAACTCAAAATGATTTTGTTTCTGCATGTAATGAAAAAAATTTACTTAAAAAGAAAATGAATGTGGAGTGTGCAGTCGGCTGTCAACTTGAATTAAAAAAAACAACACAATTTCGTCTAACAATGTAAAAGTATTGCAAAATAATAACTAACCTGAGTATTTGACCTGATTAATATGACATGTTGCAAGCTGTCTCTTTGAGGCTTTGGTCATATTGGTTTTTAATGTAGTTCGCGGGGACATTGTGATTGTTTAACTCTCAGCCTCGAGAGGGCTTATTGTTGCTATTGCAGATGCTTCGAAACAAATGTGATTCAATCAGGCTGGACAAATTTCATCACTCTCTGATTGACGTGCTTTGTTTTGACTCCTCTTTGCTGTCGTTTCTTCTGTCAACTGTTTGGCCATGCTCCAATATCACACTTTACCCTGGTTAATCAACAGTATGACTACAATCCTAAACAAGCCTATCATTTTCTGACACCAGCTGTTCTGTTATGGCCGTGACATTTCCACACCACCTTTGAACTCTGCAGAAAGACACAAGCAGGTCCCGTGGGTTTTTTTCTGATTTAAAAAACAAAAAAAACAAAAGAGGGGCAGGGGGAGCACTTTGTGGAGTAAGTGAATTTACTTCCTCCCAAGTCATTGCTTCCAACAGAGAGCATGTGAGCGGTGGGATGCTGAATAGGCAGGAAGAGTAAGAACGACAGCTGGTCAAAGAAGCACAAAGCTTGACTCTATCAAAAAAGGCTGCATTTACACTGCATATGCCCAATCCCCATTTCATGCTGACATCTTGTTTTTATTGACTGGCTGATACCATATACATTTTCGCGGGAATCTCCTGTTATTTGCTGAAATACTCACCTATTTCCTGTTTTTGTTCTTAGGCCAGAGGCAATGTCTCATAAGGAAAATATTACATTCCCATCTGGTGGGATCCTGGTGCCAAGGGCACATGTTGAACTCAAGGGAATGAGCTTCATTTAGGCTATGTTCACACTCTAGCTCAATTCCAAATTCTCCCCCCGCCCCATATGTGACATGTATCATTAAAAAAAAAAAAAAATCTGCAGTGTGAACATTTCAATTCTAAATTCTTTTTTTGTTCTTCAAATGCGACCTGGGCCTCTTTCATATGTCTTATCAAGTCGGATATGTATGTCCATGCGTCTGCAGTTTGAACGCTCCTCCTCACGCATCTGATCTATATGTCATCAGAAGCTCAATATACACTCCGCACGGACGGGCAAGAGTGTTTGGGAGAGAGACAACTGACAATAATCGTCTGTGCATGTGCATGAGTGGTGACTTTACATTTGACTTTCATTTAATCCCACTTGAAACACAAAGCATAAAATTGACACTTGTGGTGATGGTATAAATTCAGCCACGCAAATAGTTAATTTATTACTTGTGGCAATGATGTGACATCATCTTTAATGATCGTCTGCATGAAATGGAGCTTGACAAACAGAAAAAAAGTGTATTGCTGCCATCTTGTGGCATCCGTAGGCAATTAGAAACCTTTTTCTGTGTGTCGGCTATTCATACTTGATTCACTGTCCATCTCATTTTGCAGGGCTTTGTTTGTGTTCTTGAACGTGAAACAATCCGCAGGCACAGGCACTGGCCCTCAAATTGGCACAGGAGACCGACCCCCCCCCGCACACTGCAACGCCACCCAACAGCACTGAATTGTTGTGCAATGTGCAGGGTTATGCAAATAGTTTTCATAAGTGTGCATGGAAGAAAAAAAAACGTCCATCCATCAATCTGAACCGCTTACCCTTGTGAGGGTTGCAGGCGTGGTATCCCGGCCGTATTTGGGCAGTAGGCGTGGTACACTCTGAACTGGTTGCCAGCCATTCACAGGGCACACATAGACAACGAACCTACGGTGAATGTTGTTGGTATCTGGAAAGCGGAGTACCCTGACAAAAAACCCACACCGGCACGGGGGAGGACATGTAATATATGTAGTTATGTAACTAGATAGAATGGTGTATGTCTACATATAGCGCTTATCGGTGGGACCAGCCCACCGATAAGTGGAAATCAATGATGATGATTTTTATCCTCGTTTGATGTCAATCTGAAAATATCAACCCCCTCCCCCCAAATGTTCATGCTGCAATGACTCGTACTCCACTTGAATCCTATTGTGTCACGTGTCCCATGCAGTTGTAAACCCAGCAGATGACACTGTGATGTCGATATTCCCTTTAACAACAAGTGTGTTGTTTTCTGTCGCTGCTTCGGACGACAGCTGTTGAGTCGGTGGCATTGCTATGACTCAACTCATGTCACGTCTTTAATTCAACATGTACGCATAATCCCTAAATACCAAAGCGGAAAAGGAAACGCGTTTGCAGAAGTGAAATAGTAGTATTTTCCGACAAGCGTCAAGGCACCAACAAAATCAGTTTAACTTCAAATCTGAAATGTCAAATCTTTGAAGTAGTGGTGGTAGTTGTCATGTCATCCCAAAACATGCCTTAAATATAATCGTACAAATGCTTTCGCACACTTGGATGGACCTCATTTCAGCAAGCATCAAAGAATTAACTGCATGTGTGGTTGTTTTTTTTTTTGTTTGATGTCATCCCAAAACATGCCTTAAATATAATCGTACGAATGCTTTCGCACACTTGGATAGACCTCATTTCAGCAAGCATCAAATTTTTGACTGCCTAATTTCCAGATAAAGGGCATCACAAGAGAAAAATCTCCAGTAAAGACTCCGGCAGCATCCAAATTGACGTTGTGCTATGTTTGTTTTGCAGGCGGCAGCACAACACTGCGTGTGGTATGGCGAGTGTGCTGAGTCCGACAAGGTCCCCGGAAAGAAATATAATTGTAACTACACAGGAACCCCGAAACCTCTGGACCCCGAGGGCTACGACCTCCTCTTGGTATGTGTCAAGACTGTACGAGAGCACAAAATCAATCCCTCAAAATGTATTTCATCATATTATTGTTTGAAGCATTTTTTTTCATTTCATGTCTTATTTTAATAACCTGAACTTAAAATCTTTTTCTTTTAAATTTTATTTTTATTTTTATTTATTATTGACTCTTGTATATATGTATGTACGATACAGGAGCTTTGTCCTGGTTATGACTATGGCAACCGCGAACTCTGCTGCAATGTGGATCAGTTGCGTACTCTCAAAGCGAGTCTCCAGCTGCCCCTTCAGTTCCTGTCCCGGTATGAACTTTAGCTAACAACATGAACTCACAGCGTACAGGTCATGGCATAATTGACACTGACTATCATTCTGTGTGGCCATTTGCAGATGTCCCTCATGTTTCTTCAACTTGATGAACCTCTTCTGCGAGTTGACGTGCAGCCCGCACCAGAGTCAATTCATGAATGCCACCAAGTTTGAGTACACAAATTCCACCGAGTTCAACAGCTCCAGCGTCGTGGAGGTTCAGTACTATATCGGACAAACATTCTCCAACGGTGAGTTTGCATGCACACCACTTGCCTCAAACATCAGTATTTGCACGCTTATCTGAGTAGCTTGGACCTACATAGCCTCTCTTAAGCCATTAACAACCACGTTCCCCTCCCACGTGTTCCAAACTTTCGAAACACTTGTTGCACTTAATAAACGCAACTTTTAAAACATAAAATGTAGAATAAATACCGAGCTGCTTGCTTTTGTAAAACAAATTTCCCTGAACAAAGACTTTTTTTTTTTTTTTTGGACCGGTCTCACTTAAAAGAAAAATAGTTAGAAAATGTGAAACTGCCATACACAAAGTTATGGACACAAATGAAAGTCTGTGATAGAGTGAATCCGCAAATTGTTTTCCATATTTTTGCTTCAAATGGAGAGTGAGGGCTGAGCAATATGGCCAAAAATTCATATCATGGTATAAAATGAATCCCTTCTCAATAATGGTACCGATCGTGATATAAACTTCAATGTCAACAATATACAATGGAAATATGAATATTTCCTGTTCAGCGGCAGAAAGAATGATATTTATTATTCTTTCTGCTTCTTTTCATTATTATTATTTTTAAAGTATCACATATATATATATATATATATATATAGTCATTTATTATTTCATTTTATTTTACATTCTTCATAAATGCCATTATTTACTTGAATTCCTTGATTTTTTCAGATACACGCTCAATGTTGCTTCTCCTTTATAGTTGTAGATTTTGATTTTGCGAAATATTTCCCTCAACATTTCAAAATTTACAAATATCTTTAAAAATTGCTGCTACTTGCCTAATTTATTTATTTGTTTTTTTTGTTTTTTTTTTACAGCAAAGCAGTGTATCTAAATACGTTCTCAAACAATTTTCATTCCACAAGGCCAAGCAAACCAGTGTGCTGGCGAAATGTGACTTTAATGGATGCTGTCCCTTTTTGCAGCCATGTACAACGCCTGCCGGGATGTACAAGCGCCGTCCAGCAACGTGCCGGCCTTGTCCCTGCTCTGCGGCAAAACCGCCCAGTACTGCAATGCCACCAACTGGATCCAATACATGTTTGACATAAATAATGGGCAGGCTCCTTTTCCTATCGTACCAATATTCACAGGTAAATATTACCTATCAGAAAAATATATATTTCTCTCAGTATGTCAATTTTTATTCTTTTAAATTGATTTTAGATGTGCCGGTGTTTGGCTACACCCCGATGAACAACAAGACTTACGGCTGTTCCGAAGGCCTGGACGATGGTTCAGGTCCTTGCTCCTGCCAGGATTGTACCAAAGAATGCGGGCCCAAACCCCTCCCTCCACCTGTCCCGCCTCCTTGGACCATCATTGGAGTGGACGCGATGACTGTCATTATGTGGATCTCTTACATCACCTTCCTGTTCGTGTTTATCGGCACAGTGCTCGCAGCGTGGTGCTACAGGTAAAAAAAAAAAAAAATTACCGGGATATAAAATCTCTTGCTTTTGTTTTGAATTCTCTGTGCTTCACTCAGCTTTCTGATTTGAACTGTTTTTAGCTGTTTTAACGTATAATGTAATGAAACTTGAAGCGTCTCTTTGCGGCACTGCGCTTGTTTGCGACTCCCGTGATTCTTTTAATAGGAGTGGTGATCAGGAAAGCTGAAGCTAGCTAGGCTAAACGCTAGGTCTTGGCAGTAATTCAATATCAGTATATATCGCGATAGACACATGATCGATAATGTAATATGCCTTCAATCAAATTTTCAATCGGAAAATAATCTGGAAGAAGACTCCACCCCCAGCATTCTGCCAGCTGTAGACAGAGGCCGTAGCATGGCGTCAGATTTGTGCCACAATTATAATCACATCAAAGGAATTTTTGAGCACAAAAGCGTGTTTTGAGTTCAGCAGAGTCGCTGCCTGCCCGTCTGCCAAAGAAGCAGCAGCTGAACCAAGGAAGAAGCATGCGTGCGCTCTTTCAATGACCTGTCGCCTCACTGCATCTATGACAATAAGATGACATTGTGCAAACTAACACCTTCAGATAAACACATGGAGTAGAAGTCAAGGAGTTCTTGTCTTTGACATTATAACATTGGTGTCTTTTAGCCGGCTCCGATGCTCAGCATCGCCATGAAGGTACAGTCAGGTAAAACAATAACCTGTCCTATGGCAATAATGAGCCTGCTAACATCTTTACAGTAGAACTAAGACGGGGGTTCAGCTGTAATGCAGGCACCCCAAGAGAGAATTTGTTTACTACACTTAGACTGTATGAACATCGCAAGAAGGTTAATGTTACTGTATCAACAATGGGGTGTATAAGCATTTACAGTGGCACTGTTTGAGTGAGAAGCATTAATGTAAACAAAATTGCACATTACACTTCATTATAATATACATAAAACATTGTATGTTCCTCGAAAATTTGTTTTACGAGCAGAAATTTTGAATGGGATTTTTCTTCTGGATTCTTCTGGAGTTTAATCTATTCAATGTTTTTTAATTGTTATTTTAATTAGGAAAAAAAATCAATACTGTACATATGTGTATATCGACCAATAGGAATTACCGGTGCCTTCATCGTGACACACTTTTCAGCCGTATCACCCAGCCCTACTAACCACTATTCTCATCCACAAGCTTATTTTCATACTGTGGGACCACGTTAGATGTATGAGGAGTGTCACCTTGTGGGTGAATAGTCTGGATGATGGCAAATGGCCAATTAGGAAAATGAGATGCCAAAAACACGAATGGCGATTAGTCGAGCCAGAGTAGTAAAGACTATTATGTTCAAACTCTATTTGTACTAATGACAAGAGCTGAGGCTGGTGAAAAAAAAATGTTAAGCAGTTAACGTGAGATAAATTTGAACAAGACCTGAGGATTAAATGTACAAAACTAGTTAATGTGTACTTTTGTTTAGGAAAAGGACAATCTTGTCGGAGTATGGGCCCATATTGGATAGTAATAACCCGTTGTCGCTCAACAGTGATAATCCTGAAGCAGGTAAAGGGATTTGATTCACTTCATCTAAGAAAGTCTTCTTTGAATGTATGTGGAATGACACATAAGCAAATAGTCAATTTGTGTCTGCCCGCAGTCAACGCATCGTGCTGCGAAACGCTGGGAGAGCGTTTTGAGAACGCTCTGCGGGCGATCTTCAGCTCATGGGGCTCATTCTGCGTGCGCTACCCGGGTTCGGTCATTCTGGGCAGCCTGCTCCTGGTGACGGCGTCCTCGGGCGGTCTGGTCTACATGCGCATCACCACCGACCCCGTGGAGCTATGGTCGTCGCCCGGCAGCCAGGCGCGCCAGGAGAAGGACTACTTTGACAGCCACTTTGGGGCTTTCTACAGGACGGCTCAGCTCATCATCACCACGCCGCTCAACGAGACCTTCACCTACAAGCCCTACTTTGGAGGGTCTGACGTCCCCTTTGGAGCCATTTTGGATAAGGACATCCTTCATCAGGTGAGGTGGAGAATGGAACGAATATCTGTTCAGAAACAATAATCATGTACTGCCATCTGCTACTTTCGAGCCTGTGCAAATTTGAGTTTTTTTGACAAAGCACTTAAGGTAGAAACTCTCACGGTAGGACCATGGAGAGATATATATATATATACACACACACACACACACACACACACACCCTCACCCTCACCGGCCACTTTATTAGGTACATCATGCTAGTAACGGGTTGGACGCCCTTTTGCCTTCAGAACTGCCTCAATTCTTCTTGGCATAGATTCAAGAAGGTGCTGGAAGCATTCCTTGGAGAGTTTGGTCCATATTGACATGATGGCATCACACAGTTGGCGCAGATTTGTCGGCTGCACATCCATGATGCGAATCTCCCGTTCCACCACATCCCAAAGATGCTCTATTGGATTGAGATCTGGTGACTGTGGAGGCCATTTGAGTACAGTGAACTCATTGTCATGTTCAAGAAACCAGTCTGAGATGATTCCAGCTTTATGACATGGCGCATTATCCTGCTGAAAGTAGCCATCAGAAGTTGGGTACATTGTGGTCATAAAGGGATGGACATGGTCAGCAACAATACTCAGGTCGTTGCGTTGCAACGATGCTCAATTGGTACCAAGGGGCCCAAAGAGTGCCAAGAAAATATTCCCCACACCATTACACCACCACCACCAGCCTGAACCGTTGATACAAGGCAGGATGGATCCATGCTTTCATGTTGTTGATGCCAAATTCTGACCCTACCATCCGAATGTCGCAGCAGAAATCGAGACGCATCAGACCAGGCAACGTTTTTCCAATCTTCTATTGTCCAATTTCGATGAGCTTGTGCAAATTGTAGCCTCAGTTTCCTCTTCTTAGCTGAAAGGAGTGGCACCCGGCGTGGCCTTCTGCTGCTGTAGCCCATCTGCCTCAAAGTTCTACGTACTGTGCGTTCAGAGATGCTCTTATGCCCACCTCGGTTGTAATGGGTGGTTATTTGAGTCACTGTTGCCTTTCTATCAGCTCGAACCAGTCTGGCCTTTCTCCTCTGACCTC